ACGTACACACACACACACACACACACACACACACACACAAACCAGTGCCTCTCATTACACGACCGAGTTTCCATGACCTTCAGCACAAACACTGCTCCAAATAATTGTCATAATGAATAAATAAATCAATAGATAAAAAAATTAAATATTACAAAACTAAATATATGTATAAATAAATTACAATATAAAGTATTTAAAAAACAAATCTGATATATTTTTTAAATGTTACACATACAGACACGTGTATAAATATTAAATGTAACCATTTCATTTTCATATATACATACAAACTGACAAATATCTGATATACATTTTGTATTTATCTGATATACATTTTATCCCTATAAAATATTTAAAAATCTGGAAATATTCTGAAAATCTTTTACTAAATAACTTTTTTTAATATTTTAAAATGTATTTTTATTTTAATGGTGTGCTTTAAACATTTCCAGACTGTTTGTTTCCAGGGTTTTCTCACGCTGCGCGTTAGTGTTTGTTAACAGTAATCTAACAGTAATAATGATGGGTTTGTGTAACGGACATGACCTGATATCAGCCTAATTACACGACATTCACACAACCTCCTGACTGCTTCATTCAGCAAACACACAGAGAGACGATTAACCGCCGCCAGGGTGTGATTTCCTACTAAAGTCACATTAAAGTCATCACAGTAACAGATGCTGTTTCTCTGCTCTGATCCAGACACAATTAAACGCTCAAAGCAAACAAACTGGATAAAGCCCAATCCATTAATCCTGAAGCGCGTTTCCACTGACACAGAGCGAGCGTTTTCAATTCATTCCTATTAGGCTTGCAAAAAGGTGGAACATTTCCAGTAAATTTAGGAAACATTCCAGGATTTTTTGGAATCTTTCAGGGATTTTTTGGCAAGTTTCCGGACATTTTCCACCCCTTTCCAACCCTAATTCCTATGGAAGCTGAGCTTAAACGCTCGCGCGGTGCACTATTGAAAGCGTCGAGGCTGAGCATTCCTCGACTTTATGCAAATATTGAGCGAAAAACGCCGGTTGAGAACCAATCGCTGTCAAAAGTAGGCAAGGCAAGATTTTGCCGTATGTTTGCTGAACTGGTGGATTACTGAGATCACTTGTCGTTGAAAAAGTCATAGCAAAAGAAAATGCACTTTGCATGCTTTCATTATATGTGACCCTAGACTACAAAACCAGTCATAAGGGTCGATTCTTTTCTGGAATATGAATACATAATCTTTCCATTGATGTATGGTTTGTTAGGATAGGACAATATTTGGCTGAGATACAACTATTTGAAAATCTGGAATCTGAGGGTGCAAAAAAATCTAAATATTGAGAAAATCATCTTTAAAGTTGTCCAAATGAAGTTTTTAGCAATGCATATTACTAATCAAAAATTAAGTTTTGATATATTTACAGTAGGAAATTTACAAAATATCTTCATGGAACATGATCTTTACTTAATATTCTAATGATTTTTGGCATAAAAGAAAAATCTATAATTTTGACCCATACAATGTATTGTTGGCTATTGCTACAAATATACCCCAGCGACTTAAGACTGCTTTTGTGCTCCAGGGTCACATATTTTGAATTAGCTTTTATTTTTAGATTTCAATTTTCAATTTTTATTTTAGTTTAAGTAATAATTATTTTTCACAAAACGTGTCTAATTACAGTAATTGAATTCATAAAATATTAACAATTTAATTATTTTATTTACATTTTTCCCTATGAAATGTTTTATTTATTTTTTTCAGAAATTCTGTGTTGTCTGTTTTAATTTTTCTGGATTTATGATTTAATACAGATTTATTATCAAAAATGGTGGTGATCAAATCAAGGCATAAAACTATAACAGTTAAATTAATCTTTTCAAATGTAAATCAGATAAGTCAAATAAAAATGTAAGGTCATATAATATTAACAGATACACCTTTTCATTTTAATAACGTGTTAGTAAAAATATTTTATTTATATTTATTTAAAAATTATTACTTTTTAATAATTTTGTTATGTGCTTTTGTCATTTGTTTAAATAGTTATATATTTAATATAATATAATTACTTAAGTTGGGTAAGATAATCTTCAAAAATTTTCTGACAAACAGTCTCAAATATTATCTGACATTATAAAGAGAGTAATTTTACTCTGTTTGTTAAAGACTAAAGAGGTTCAGAGGGCCATGAATGAAAAGCGTTTTGAAGAGGCCATCCAGTTGCGGGGCAGGTGAGATTCACATTATCATTATCTGTGTTTATTAATAGATAAACCTGCAGAGGTCAAAGTTTCAGCTGATTGTTTTCCACATGAATGAGTAATAATGAATCAAATAATGTTGTTTACAGGAGTTTTGAGAACAACTGGAACATTTATAAGTTGCTGGCCTATCAGAAGCCAGCTGCGGTCCCGGTAACACATCAACACTACAGCGTCATGACTTTAACCCTCATTTTACAGCATTATACATGCAAAAGTATATAAAAAAAAAAAAGAAGAATAATAATAATAATTTTATATTTATATATAAATATATAATTATTATTTTTATTTTTTTTATATATATACTTTTGCATGTATAATGCTGTATTTTCTGTATTTAATGCATTCTATTTTAATGGTTTAATTAACTAGCTGAACTAAAAAGCTTTTTGTATTTTATTTTTATTTCAGTTACATTTTAAATATCAAAAAGCATGTCTAATCGAACATTACCAATTTAATAAGTTATTACATTTTTTTTTACGATAATAGGGCCCTATGAAATGTTAGATTTTTCAGAAAATAATTTAAAGTTTTTGCAATTTTGTTGTGTGCATTTGTCATTTTTAGTAGTATATATATATATATATAGTTTTTATTAATTTTATTTCGGTTTTAGTTTGAGTTATTTTAGTGCATCAAGTAAAATTAAATATAATGAGAAATATAATGACAATATAGACAATATTTTTTTTAATTTCAGTTACATTTTAAATCAATTTTTAAATCAATTGACCAATTTTAAATAATAATTTTAATAATTTATTAAAATTTTTACAATAATTAGAAATTCTGTGTTGTCTGATTTATTTTTTCTGTATTTATGACTGAATGCAAATTTCTTATCAAACGGTGATCAAATGAAGGCATGAAACATTAACAATTTAATTAATATTTTAAAATGTGCTGCACAACTGTTAAAATTAAAACATGAAAGAAAAATTGTGTGATTCCTTATTAATATTACAAATTTTATTAATAGTTATATACAAAACTGTAAATGTCACTGCTGGTATTAAACCGTATTTTATTACAGCTATCAGGAGGATATATGGATCATAAAATCCTAATCTTAAACTTGTACTATGGTACTGTGAACTCAAAGTTAGTTTTGAAACTGCAGTACATAAATGCATTAATTTATCTTGCACTTCATTTATCATGTTCATTTGAGAATGAGAGCCACATATATGAATTTCTCAAGATAAAGATAAATACTGCATATATATATATATATACATCGTGTAACTATTACATGTGTCGTATCAACAACGTTTTACCCTATTCTTTGGATAGCTCCATGTCAAACACAGATCCTCCATAGACTTCCATTAGAAAAGAGCGAATGTTTGGTGAATGTCTGGTAACGTGGCACTCAGTGACGGGTTGATTAGCTACTGACTGGTTTCTGTCTGTTTTCCTCAGAGCCAGCACTCCATTGCCATCCTGAACGTGGGAGCTCCGGCCGCGGGCATGAACGCTGCGATGCGGTCGGCCGTGAGGGTCGGTCTGGCCACAGGACACCGGCTTTACATCGTTAGCGATGGCTTCGAGGGTCTGGCCAATGGAGCGGTAACGAACAACTCATCTGAATGATTTTTCAGTTATTTTGTATCAGTTTACTAGTGTTGAGAGACTGACCTATGACTGAAACTGTGTTAGTTTAGGATCATTTAGATACTACTATGGTTTTAATTAATAAACAGTGTTATTTTAGCATCATTTAGATACTATTAGGGTTTTAAATTAATATTTTGAAGATTTTATTTTAATATGTCTTATTTTCATTTTAATTTTAGTTGACGTTTTTGTAATTTTGTTTTGTGCTTTTGTCATTTTAGTAGTTTTTAACTAATATATATGAAATAATGCATATATATA